TCTTATAGTGCAATAACATTTAATGACATTCAGTTATGACAATTAGTTCAGTCTTTCCCCAATTATCGAAGAGGAAATCTAAGGTACACCCTTAGATTCTAATTCTTTTATTCCCCCTTTCATTACCATGAAATTTGTTTTGCTTGCAGCTATTCCTTTCTTCATATTATTCTCTCTTCTTAACCTCTATCCCCCAACCTGGCCTTTTTTTCCTATTAAGTTTGGTGTGTTTCTCCACCAAACTATGTATGTGTTTTCAATACAACTTTGTCTGTTTTGGATTAGATTAGAGTAAGTTTTATCTGAAACCCACTCCTCCTCTCCATTCCACCACGCTTGTATCCTCTTCTTTTTCATGAATGCCAATCATGAAAAAGTATTCTACCCCTTTATTCCTCCTTTTGATATGTATGTCTTTTACCTTCTCTTTTCTTTCCTTTCTTTAAATCCATAAAACTGAACCAATCTGCCTTGAGGAATTCTGTTTCTCTTATTTAACTTCCCCAATACACTTTGAAGACATGGTTGTGAAGGGAAACCTGTTTCTTCTTCATCATTAGAATGTTTTCTTTCCATCATCATGTATCTCCTCTCAATTACTCAAAAATTTACCTTTCTATATGTCTCTGAACTCTTGTGTTTGTATTGCAAAGTACTTAGTTCTAATTTTTTTTAAAATCAGAAATGCTTAAAAATCTTTTATTTCATTAAAAATCCATTTTTTTTCTCATTGTAAGATTATCGTCAATTTTGTAGGGTAAGTTATTCTTGATTGTAACCCTATATCTTTTGCTTTTTGGAATACTGTATTCCAAGATCTCCCCTCCTCTGTGACAAAAGCTGCCAGATCTTGTGTTATCCTGATTATGGTCTCTTAACACCTGAACTTCTTTTTCTCTGGATGCTGGAAATATTTTTTTTTAATATGAACTCTGCATTTTGACTATGACATTCCTATGATCCTTCCTTTTGGAGTTTTTTTCAAGAAGTATTCTGGAGAGTCTTTCTATTTTTACTTTGTCTTCTGATTTTAATAGATCTGGGAAATTTTCACTTATGATATCTTGAAATATAGTTTCTAGGTTTTTTTTTTAATTCATGATTTTCAGGGAGTCCAGTGATTCTTTTTTTTCTCTCTCTTTCTTTCTTTCTTTCCTTCTTTCTTTCTTTCTTTCTTTCTTTCTTTTTTTTTTGGAGGCAGAGTTAAGTTATTTGCCTGGGGTCACACAGCTAGTAAGTGTCTGAGGCTGGATTTAAACTCAGGTCCTCCTGACTCCAGGGTTGGTGCTCTATCCATTGTGCCACCTCCCTGCCCCTGTTCAGTGATTCTTAAATTATTTTTCCTTTACCAATTTTCTAGGATTTTTATATCAGACACTTTATATTTTTCTTCTGTTTTTTTATACCTTCAGATTTCATTTTCATATTTCTTGCATTCTCTTAAAGTTGCTTTCTGTTTGGTATGTTCTACTTTTCAGGGAATCTATTACTTAGTTCAGAATTATGATTTTCTCTTCTAAGCTATTTATTCCCCTTCCAATTTTTTCCTTAAGAACTTTTACTTAATTTTCTATCTCTTGTTTAATTTCTTTTAGGTAGTCATGTCATACTTGTGGAAAATCTTTTTTTTTTTTGTTCTTTTTGAGTCATAGCTTGCAGTAGTTACACAATTGTTCTTTTCTTCTTTTTGAAGATATTTAAATGTGCGATCTTTTTGATACTTGTCAGTATTTTCTTTGATTTACTCATGATCTAGCTTTAGTTCACAAATTAGGGAGTTGTGCCAATTCCAGGCTCCACTTTGGCTATGCTTTTTGTTGGGAATAGTCAGCTCTGCTTGGCATCATCCTGGATGCCCTGAGTTCTTCCATTGACCCTTACCTCCTGGTGTTAGGCTCCCCACCTTTACTTTTGATGCTTAGAGCACTGGATCTTCAGAGTCATCTCTAATATCTCAAGGCAGGGTGCTTGGGAGCCCACAGCCCGAAGCTGGGGGTGTCCTAGTATGAGCACTTCATGCTGGTTATAGCCAGTTACTCTTACTTGCAAAGTCTACACCCTGGGTCTTTCCCACTACCCCGCAGCTTTTTAAGGGGAGGCCTTGACTCTTGCTGCCTCCCTGTATAGATCTTTGCAGTGTTTCTTCTTTCCTAACCCATCCTCTGTGGCTCTGGGTGGCTGAAACTCCACTGACACTGGAAACCCTCAGGCTTATGATTGATTTCTCATACAGTTCTGGGGTACAAGTCACTTGCTGTAGATTTTCATTTGATTTCTTGATAATTATTTGACCTCATGGGAATGTCATGGTTTCACTGAAGTAGGTGTGCAGGAGCTTGCATCTGATTCTTGTTCAGACAACCATCTAGGCTAGAAAGTCATTTGATAATTTTTTAAATTGATATTTATTTTAAAAGTGCATTCACTTTTGAATTTACATATCATTCCATCTCCATCACACTTTGTATCATTTTCAATATCAAAAAAAAAATAAAAAGAAAGAGAAAAAATGGTTCATCAAAACTAATCAGCACACTGAGTGACCACTCCAATCCTGCAGTTTTCTGCTTCTGTAAAGAAGGGAGGGAGGTGCATTTTCTCATCTCTTTTTTTGAGGTCAAGCATGGTCATTATAATTACACAAAGTCCAGTTTTGTTTTGTTTTAAGTGTTAAGTTATTTGCAGTGCCATGATGGTAGTCATTGTGTATATTGCTTTCCTAGGGTTGTTTACTCCTCCCTGTATCAGGCTATAACGATCTTTTTATATTTCTCTTAATTCTTCGTAGCTGTTGTTTCTTATGACTTGGTAATATTCCATTACATTCATGAGCCAGTTTGTTAGCCACTTCCCAGCTGATAGGTGTTTACTTTGAATTTAGCTCTTTGCTATCACAGGGCTTTAATAATACATTTCTCTAGTACTCTTCCCTGGTACTTCTTTATTCTAAAATATCATTCAAGAAGCACTTTATACCTTGCCAAACATTTTCAAATACAATAATTTGATTGGAAAAAAAAACATTGATTGGACACATTTTGCCAGGCATTTGTTACAAAAATTCAATAAATATAGTCCCTGGTTTTGAGAAGTTTACAATCTACTAGGGTGTGTAAGATAAGCATAAAAATAACTACAACACAAGGCAGAGTGTTTTAAGTGCAAAGGAGAGATTTCGACAAAGTGCTACCAGAAATTCAAGAGAGATAGTTCCTCTTAGCTTTACAAACCCAGAAGACAGATAGCATATGCATCATTGTAAAAGGAACCCTGGCAGTGAGAAAAGTGCCCTGGCCTGAGTATGGAAGACACATATTTGAATCCTGCTTCTGACATCTATTAGCTTTAGTACCCTGGACAAGTCACTTAATATCTCTCACTCTCATTTTCCTCATCCATAAAATGCAGATGATAATAGCACCTACTTCACAGGGTGGTTATGAGGATCAAAAAAGATAATATAGGGAAAGTGTTTTGTAAGACTTAAAGTGCTATGTAAATGTTACCTATTACTATCACATGTGTTCAATGTGTAAGGAAATAGAAACAAATAAAGGTTAAGTGATTTGCCTCACAGTTGTTCAGTGGCAAAACTAGGTCTGTATAACCCAAATCGTTTGACTATCAGCCCAGTGGATGTTATTGTATACCAACTAATTAGACAAAACCTTAAAGGATTTCAGATATGTCCATTTTTCTGAACGATCTTTTAAAGGGAAGACAGTCTGGGTAATGCATATTTTGTTCAACAAGAGAGGGATTTAACAGCCTATTATTTTCCCTGTGACTTGACCACCTATGTATGTAAAGTAATATACAGAGATGGAAGATGCAGACACATTTTGTGTTATACTAAAGAATTTGTTGTTGCTGTTTACTAAACATGACAATTAGGATAGAGTCAGTCATTATTCATAGATAAGGGATTTGTGAAAAGAGGAATACTGTTAGATTTTTGAGGTTGCTTATAATAATAATAATTGATAATAACTAACATTCATAGTGTTTTAGAGTTTGTGAAGCACATTATATATACAAAGTATCCCTAAGATTGTTTCTCTCCAGGCTCTTGCTCCTAGTGAGAACCCATCATAAAACACACAGCCACATGCACCTCCAAGCTTGTCCATTTAGATACAGGTCATCTTTTGTGCTCTAACAGAAGGGGCAGGTGCAAGCTGTTGCCCATTTGGTGACCACTACCTCTCCCTTCTCTCCTCCTTCCTGAGGGTGACTCAAACTACCGCCATTGCTCCCAAACCTCTGTCCTCCTTGTCTGAGGGCTGATCTCCCATTACTTTCTTCACTTTCCAAACTGAGAACTACAAATTCCACAGGGTTTTGTGGCCAACCAGCCCTTGGCCAGAGGTTGTTACATAAGTTTTAATAACTTAGACTTCAATAAGACTTCTGGGATGCCCTATGTAGGGGGGAAGAGAAGGTAACAGTCAGTTATAGAGTGCTACTACGTGCCAAGCATTGTGCTAAGTGCCAAAGATACATAGACAGGCAACAGACAATCCCTGCCCTTGAGAAGCTTACAATCTAACAGAGGAGGCAACACAAACAACTACGTACAAACTATATGTGAGATAAATGGGATTTAACAATAGAGGGAAACATCAGAATTGAAGGATAGGTTTCCTGTAGAAGATCAGATTTTAGGTGGAACTTGAACGAAACCAGAGAGTGACTTGTCCAAGGTCACACAGTTGGGAAGTAGCATAGTATTTATTTGTACTATAGATAATAATTATGGACTTATATCATGAGAGACTGTGGAATAATAGAAAAATAGCTGGCCTTAGAGTTAGGAAGGTCTGAGTTTAATTCCTTTTTTTTTTGTTTGTTTGTTTGTTTGTTTTGGGGTTTTTTTTTCCTGCTTCTCAACTAAAAGGGGATTTTATTGATATCACAGCCCCATTAAACCCAGGAACAAGGCCTTGTTACAACAGACTACTCAAGAGCACTTCAGTCAGGGGAGACAAACCAAAACTGGGTCCCGAGGCTGGTCTTTATTTGACCTTCTTCTTGGGGCACAGATTGTTGGTGTGGCCGCACTTCTTCTTACGGCAACTTACAGCGCGGGGGTACAGGCGGGCGTAACGCTTGCGGCAGATCATCTTGTCACAGTTGTACTTCTGGGCCTGCTGGAGAAGGGAAGGCTCCATGATGCCTCCTCGAAGACGCAGCACCAAGTGCAGAGTGGACTCTTTCTGGATGTTGTAGTTGCAGAGAGTTTGGCCATCTTCTAGCTGTTTTCCAGCAAAAATCAGACGTTGTTGATCTGGTGGGATACCTTCCTTGTCCTGGATTTTGGCTTTAACGTTCTCGATAGTATCCCTGGGCTCAACCTCAAGAGTGATAGTCTTGGCCGTCAGGGTCTTCACAAAGATCTGCATTTCTACAACGCTGCTCCCGCTGCTTGGCCGCCTCGCTGAAGAGAAAGAGGCCAACGCTGAGTTTAATTCCTAACCCTGACATACAATGCCTTAGACCAGTCACTTAGCTTCTTAATCTCATACCATCCCTTCACTCCCCTGAAACTCCCTAAGATTTTTGAGCTGAGGAGAAGACCCAGCTCTTATTTGGTAGAGGAATTTCAACAAAGATAGTTGCTTATGCAATGAAATCACAGATCCAGTAAAAAAAAAAAAAACAACATAATGAACCCCAGATGTTTCTTCTAATTACTCTCATAATGATATTGTTGTTGTTGAGTGATTTTTCAGTCATGCCTGACTCTGTGACCTCATTTGGGGTTTTCTTGGCAAAGATAATGGAGTGTTTTGCCATTTCCTTCTCCAGTTCAATTTCCAGATGAAGAAACTGAGGTAAATTGGTTTAAATACCTTGTCCAGAGTCACACAGCTAATTAGTGTCTGAGGCCAGATTTGAACTCAGGAAGATGAATCTTCCTGAGTCTAGGACTGGCACTCTATCCTGTCTGTGTGATGATAGTGAGGTGGTAGGAGAGTTTGCATAAAGTACAAGACAAATTCATTTTTACATCTAGAGTTGGCCCTTCTAGTAGGTCTCGAGTGATATAACAATGTGACTGGTAACATCTGATGAAGAGCTTCCTCCTAAGTAAATGATCAGGGGCTGCAGATGCACAACTGGAGGGATCTGGAGGGAAGATTCTCTTTGAGGGGCTATCTCACCTGCCTCTGGTGAATTCCTTAGACATGACAGAATAGACCTTTCCATTACACTGAGATTGTTGGGTAGGCCTATGAAGTCAATGGGGGGCCTTGGGGAACTTGGAATTCATTATATTTTTTTCTGCCATTGCTTAGGATAGATTTATAGATAAAGTATTTAAATCAACCAATTGATTCAGCTGATTGATCATGTTGATAGAATCCTGTATGCTTTAGTCAGAACAGGGCGGGGGGGGGAGAGATTATACTCTTTTCTCCTCTTCTAGAAAATGTTTAAGTGTCTACTGCATGTAAGAGGACACAATGATGAATAAAATATTACCTTTTCACTAAAAGAATTTATAATTAAGTTAGGAGCCATAGCCCAGGTTGCATTACCTTTGGAAAATAAGGATTGAAAAAAGACTATCGGCTTCTGGTAATCTTTAAGGGAGCAAATGTCATTAGAATGATGGGAGTGGAAGTCAGATTGCAGGAAATGAGGAAGTGGATGGTGAAGAAGTGAAAGTATTGGGTGTAGTCATTTTTTCCCCAGAAATTTATCAGCCAAGAAGAAAAGGAAGATGGAGTAGTATCAAAATATATTTAATAGACAGCATATTTGTAGATGGAAAGGAAGGATCCAAGGCACTGATAGAGAGTAAAGATGCAAGGATGTCTGATGGATCAAGGACTTGAAGAATCCTTTTTTATTTTTTATTTATTTATTAGGCAATTGGGGTTAAGTGACTTGCCCAGGGTCACACAACCAGTATCAAGTGTTTGGCCTGAGGCTGGATTTGAACTCAGGTCCTCCTGACTTCAGGGCCAGTACGCCATCCACTGTGCCACCTAGTTTCCCCTAAGAATCTTTTTTTTAAATGGGAATTCCCTTCCTCATAGAAAATGAGAGCTTAAAGATAATATAGCCATCGCATCCTGAGCCACCAGTCATCTTGATTTTTGTCTTGCCACTGGACTCTAATGACTCTGGAGAAAAGAGTGAGGCTGATGACTTTGTGCAGCTCTGCCTCACTTAAATCCAATTCATGTGCAAGGCATCCTTGTGATGTTATTGGACCTCTTCAAGAATGAAGGATGAGGGGCAACGAGGTGGCACAGTGGACAGAGCACCAACCCTGGAGTCAGGAGGACCTGAGTTCAAATCCAGCCTCAGACATATAACACTCACTAGCTGCGTGACTCTGGACAAGTCACTTAACCCCATTGTCTAATAAAAAAAAAAAAGAATGAAGGGTGAACACCAACCTAACTCTTTCATTTGACAAGTAGGTAAATGGATGTCCAAAGAATTGAACGGACTTGCTAAATGCCACACAGGTGCTTAGAGGCAGGGTCAGGGCTAGAATGGAGATCTATCTTTCATGAGTGGTAAAAATTGAACTGAATGTATTTAGAATGTATGGGAAATTCTTCTAACAGGGTTCTCTTGAATGGAAAGAAGTTCAATTGAAGCTTAGTACAGCCTTGGAAGGATAAATAAAGACATTAGAATTTATTGGACCAGTATTATCCATGTGTCCAGCAGAGTGCCCAGCCTTAAGAGTTTATTTATACATGTTTACACTTCTTTATAAGTTATTAGACTTGAAGACTCAACTCAAGCACCACCTTCTATGTGAAGATTTTCTTGATCTCCTTAATGCTAAACAGCTTTTTGTTTAGCCTACATACATTCATTATGTACATATTGCTTTCCCTGATAGATATAAGCACCATAAGAGTTGAGACTATCTTATTTTTATTTTGGTATCTCCAGTGCCTAGTCTGGTGCTTGTGCTAAATAGTATTTGATTGATTAATCATACTCAAGAAACAAATCTTTGTAATTGGTTTCTGAATTAAACATAATTCAGCTGGCTGATGCAGTTGTCTACATGCTGAGATTAATTCAGCATATTTTCCCCATCACCTTTGAAGGTCAGCTCCCACAATCTTCTGATTTTAGGGACAAAAGTATATAAGTGAATTTATGGAAGTGGAAAGCTGCATTCTACTTTGCAGATCATTTCACTTATGACTCAACTTTCTGTTGCCCATGAGCGTGGTGGACATGAGAATGGTGGAAGAAATGAGAAGAAATTCCAAAGGTACCTTCCTCTACTGTCTTCCCTTCCTTCTATCTCATACAGCACTCTTCTTCTAACCTTAATCCTTCCCTATTCTCCTCTGACAACATCTGTCTACAAAAAATTTATAATACTTGAAAAATACATCTGATTGCATAAAATGTTAGCACTTTGGATAGCCTCTCAGGGGCCCCCAGAAAAGCTATCCCAAATTCAAAATACTATTTGTATCTGCATCCACTCAAAACATACCTCCTCAGTTTCTACTGATATATTTATTTTAGTAGTCAGCCAGAGGACACAATTTATTCAAAACAAAGACATTTAATGAGAACCTGGTAAGAAAAGTAGGAATAGAATATTTCCTTTACACAGTATACTCTACCCTAAGTGCATATACCATCAGTGGGAAACATGCACTTTGTAAACCTTAGAACACTATATAAATACTAACTGTTCTTATTTTATTATTTCTATTATTGTTATCTGTACATATGGAATGATTGTGATCAGGGAACAAGCAGAGAGGGCCAATGATATTTGGATATCAGTATGCTATTCTCTCTGAGCCCACTACCCACTTATCTTTTGTGGTGTACAGTCCCCAACAGGTATATGGGTATGGAATACAGTCTCCTCTGGGAAATTATCCTTCTTAATCCATTATGGCTGCTGTTGATCAGTGTTATTTTGGTTCCAGTGTTTCCAGTAGTCTTGACTCTTGTAGGCATGAGTTTGTGGAGCTTCTCTCTTCTAACAGCTTCTACCTTTGGCTGGAATCTCTCATGAAAAACTGACTCTGCCATCTCTCTTTTAGCTTAAAACCAAGAGGCTTAACCTTCTGCTCTTTTCTGGAAGCAAACCCATATGTGACTGGTATTAGAATAGCTAACTAGCTGATTTTCTTCCCAAAAGAAGAGTCAATTCTCAGAACTTTAACTGTGGTTGTCTTTTTCTTCTTCTTCTATAGGATAGTTTATTTTAAGGCTATAAGCTAATTCACAACAACCATCCCATTACCTTAGCAATCACAGGCATTAAGTCTGTCCTTGAATCTGTTCACCCTCCCAGCACTTCTTGCTCACCAGGAGACAAGGAATGTAGTCCAAGTCTCTTTCTCATTTAGGATCAGAAAGTTCTTTTATCTCCACTTAATTTTGAATCGCTAAATTGTATGCCTTCAGAATCATTTTGTGATGCTTCCCTTTCTGCAAACTACCAAGGCCTGTCTGCTTCCAAGTTACCTATCTCCTCCAGCCTCATTTTATTAAGCCAAGAATTCTTTTTGGTCTCTATTAAAATGCAAAAGAGGGAGAACTGAGTCAAATTTGTAAGAATACAAGTCATTCTCCAATTGATAAATGGTCAAAGGATGTGAAAAGGCAATTTTCAGATGAAGAAATCAAAGCTATCAAAAGGCATATGAAGAAGTGCTCTAAAGTGCTTTTGATTAGAGAAATGCAAATTAAAACAACTCTGAGGTACTTCACACCTATCAGATTGGCTAATATGACCAAAAAAGGGGGGGAATGATAAATGTTGGAGGGGATATGGGAAAATTGGGACACTAATGCAGTGTTGGTGGAGTTGTGAACTGATCCAACCATTCTGGAGAGCAATTTGGAACTATACCCAAAGGGCAACCGAACTGCATACCATTTGATCCAGCTACTACTAGGTCTGTATCCCAAAGAGATCATAAAAAAGGTTAAAGGACTTACATGTGCAAAAATATTTATAGTAACCCTTTTCATGGTGGGAAAACAGTGGAAATTGAGGGGATGCCCATCAATTGGGGAATGGCTAGACAAGCTGTGGTATATGAATGTAATTGATTATGTGCTATAAGAATTGAAGAATGGGTAGATTTCAGAAAAACCTGGAAAGACTTGTATGAACCGATGTGAAGTAAAATGAGCAGAACCAAGAAAATATTGTATTAGCAACATTGCATGATAATCAACTATGAATGACTCAGCTCTTCTTAGCAACACAATAATCCAAGACAAGTACAAAGGACTCATGAAGGAAAATCTATCCATATCCAGATAAAGAACTGATGAACTCTGAATGCAGACTGAAGCATATTTTTTCACTTACTTTATTCTTACTTGTGTTTTTTTTTTCCCTTCTGATCTGTTTCTTCTTTCACAACTGTGACTGATAAGG